TCTTCAAGAGGGAGGAACAGCAGAGAGGGGCACTGAGGCTGTAAGGAGTGAGTTTGAAGTTCAAAACCTGTTGTTTTATGGGGGAAATGAGCACTTTTAAATCCGGATACTCTCCTGGGAAAAGAAATACAAACCATGGCCTTGTGGGAATGAGAAGTGTTTCTTTAATATAACAATGATTAAAACCCCGCAGCTTCTAACTATAAACTCCTTTATTTTAATGCTGTTGGTGAAATTAAACTGAACAAGTTATTTCATCCTGGCTTTAACTGAGTGTTCATGTGTCTGATCAGAAAATACATTTTTCAAGTTCCATAACCAATAAAAACCCCTTAAATAGCAGAAATTCAACCTCTTTATACAAAACAACTGCCATACTCCACCCCCAGCACTGTGAAATCCTGGTGCCTACACATAAAAAGCAGGATTTAAATGTCAGATAGAATCACAGAATGGTTCCTTTCGGAAGGGGCCTTAAACCTCATGCTGTTCCAACCCCTGCCACGGACAGGGACACCTTCCACTAGAGCAGGTTGCTCCAAGCCCATCTGGTATCTCAATGTCTCCCTGGGAACTCCAGTGTGTGGAAGCAGCATTCCATGTACGACAGTCACTTCTGTCAATGCTCCATGCCTGCACCTAAATAAATGGCCAAAACCTTGAGTGATTTGGTCACTTGCTGCTCTGTGCCCATTGCATGACAGAGTCCTGAGGTTCTCCTCTGATGCCTGGACCAGGACATCAAGAAAACCAGGACTAACCTGTACATCCCAAGTGTTCTGCTGCGCAGTGGTGATATCCTGGACTTTGGTGTGTACATCCCAAGTGTTCTGCTGCGCAGTGGTGGTGTGCCTGGACTTTGGTGGCCTTATTGGTGTCAAAGTGTAACTGAGTTAGCTTTTTCTAAGTTACTGGAGTTGCAGTAGGATGGATAATGATGATTGTCATACTCTGCTGAAACACAGTGTTTAAAAAGGTATTTCTAAATAGTTCTGGTTTTCCTTTTTTTATTGTTTCCAAGAGTTTGATACTATTAAAGGATTTTTTCCCCAGGTTTCTCTTTCCAGCTTAGTAAAAAGTTGTCAAATACTCTCCTGGATTCCCACAGCTGTGGCTGTGCCATGTGCTCCCATGAAGGAGAGCTTGTGTGGGCTGTGAGCATTGGTGCTGCACCTTCTCCAAAGGCTCAGGCTGCCAAACCCTCCGTGAGTTCAGAAATCAGTCTGGGTTTTCCCAGGCAAGATTTCAGAGGGGAAACAAGGATGGGTGCTTTGGAGAGAGGAATTTCTGGCAGTCCTGGCTGTAAGAGCTGGAAACTCTGGGTTAGTTTTATTTTGGGTTTACTTAAAACTGATTCTTGCTGAAGTTTTCCATGATACCAAAATTTGACAATGTTCAAATTTCAGATTTTGTGTCCCTGCTACAACAAAAAACGTTGTCTGTGACCAGAGAAACCCACTCTGCACAATCATAAATGGTGCTGCTAAACTGGTATCATGTCAGGTGTGAAAACAAAAGAAGGACTTTAGAGAAATTTAGGGGGAATTTGAGTGAAACAAACAATATGCACAAGCTGTGGCTGCCCCATCCCTGGCAGTGTTCAAGGCCAGGCTGGACCCAGGGGCTTGGAGCAACCTGCTCTAGTGGAAGGTGTCCCTGCCCATGGCAGGGGTTGGAGCTGGAGGAGTTTTAAGATCCCTTCCAACACAATAGTTTTATGGTTCTATGAGATTTGTTTGACATTCTGTTACAAGATCACGTGTGCTTCCTTTGAAGGTGTCAAAATTGATGAGACAAAAGATTCCTGCACCCAAGAGCATCACCAGGCTGGTTTTATCTGTGCACAGGAAAGAGAGAGAGAAAGAAACTTTGGAATCTGTTGGAGTTGAATTAGTCTTTTTTGGAGAAGGATAAGACAGTGAGAGGTGTGAGCAGAGTGTGGTCCTGCTTCCCAACTGAGTCATTAATGCACTGGGAAACCTCTCATCAACCGTTTCAGTATCTTGTTCTTATTTCTTTCTCAGTCCATTGAGGCACCAAATTCTTCAAAGCCACAATTGTGCAAAGGTTCATCGTTGTACAGAGCCCAGCAGGGATCAAGCAGGACTTCCACAGGGACTTTTAGGCACTGTGGAAATAGAAAATGCTGTAGCAAAAAGCAAGGGAAAGAACCCCGAGATCGTGGGTTTTGCAGGGTAATTATGCTGAACTGAATGTGGAGAAAACATTGTGGCCACAGCCAGTCAGGGAAACTTGAGTAAGTGCTAAACTGTTGAGGATGTTGAACTTAAACTATACTCCATGTGGCTGTTTTGTTGTAAATGTCTGGCTGTGGTTTGAAATGTGCCTTGTGGTGATTTCCAACCCAAACATTGGCGTATTCGATAATGAATGAGATCCAGGAGATGAAACTCTCTGGCCTACTTTCAGTGTCAATCCTAAGGGAAATGCCCAAAGTAAATGCTCAGGAAAAGGTGAAGCGCTGTAAATCTGTAAATCAGAGTTCCCCTGGGTTCTGGCTATGTTTGTAATCAAATCTGAAAGGAGAAATGGCAAGGAAATGCCTTTTATTTAATGCATTTTAAGCTGATATGATCCATCTTAAATGTTAGGTAATGCTAAAGAATTCCAGTTTTATTTTCAGTCTGCTGCAAGCAGAGATGATGATTGGCCCTGAGCAGAATATAATCCTGTTACTGCCGTGGTGGTGGGAGGGTTTGTGCTTCCCATGTTAATGTCTTTTTGTTCCCTCTCTCCTGGGAGCAATTTTCCTTTTGCTTTAAGGGACTCAGCAAGCCTATGGCTGCTTACTGGCAGTGGCATGGCCAAGCTGGTGTTTGCATGGGATGAGCGCCGATCCCTCCATCTCTCCAGCTTGCAGGGAGAGCAGTCAAGGTGCGTGCTCCAGTGGCAGCCAGGGTGTTACATTTAAGGCAGAAGCTCTTCCCTGTGAGGGTGCTGAGGCGCTGGCACAGGGTGCCCAGAGAAGCTGTGGCTGCCCCATCCCTGGCAGTGTTCAAGGCCAGGTTGGACACAGGGGCTTGGAGCAACCTGCTCTAGTGGAAGGTGTCCCTGCCCGTGGCAGGAGTTGGAGCTGGAGGAGCTTTAAGCTCCCTTCAACCCAAACCAGGCTGGGATTCTATGAGGCACAAATCCCAGTGCCACCTCTGCCTGGGTGATTCCAACACCATTGTCCCCACCTTTGTCCCCACTTGGCCTCAGAGTGCTTGGGATATCCACAATATGTGTACACTCTGTAGGTTTGGTGTATTAAATATCTTTGTCAGTGCAGATGGTCTCAGCCCTGGGGTAGCTGCTTTATTTGGTTGTTGGGTTTGGTGGTATTTTGTGTTTTTACTAATGTAATCACTTTTATTAATATCACCACGCTGTAGCTTTTGAATTGCTTTTATTGTTAGTGTTGAGAAGTCCTTAGAGATTACAAGCACACTTTAAAGAGAATGAATGTAGCCTAGAGATGACAGAAAGGTTTGAGATTGGCACCCTACGGTTATGTTCTGAGCTCAATTCCTGCTTGACTCCACCACTCGGGAACATGTCATTTATCTTCTTTGTTCTTCACTTTTTGTCCATGCAATGACTAACTAATAATCACCTGCCACAGAGTCTGAGAGGCTTGGAGGGACGTTGCAATATGGCTCCTGAGAACTGCTGTTATCATTCTTTCTGAATTTTATGATCTTGAAATGGGAACATGGTGGAGATGCTCATGGTGAGGATGGGTGGAACCAGAATGGAGCCACCACCCACCAGCTGGCACATGGAGAGTGGCCATTGCATAACTCCTTCAGGGAAGATGCTGTGTTTTCCCTGAAGAGTGGCTATTTCTCCTAACAAGAAGGCCTTGAGGGGCCCATGGCCTTGTTAAATTATTCATGGCCCAGGGATAATGAGAAACTTGGAGAAATTCTGGAGTGCCAAGGGTGGGAGCTGTACCTTTCTCCCCCTACACTAATAGGAGAGCACAAGGGACAAAGAGGAAAGATTCTCCCTTTTGTTTTTATTAACCTTTTGGACTGTTTCTGTACAGTGAGTCTGTCCTTAACCCACAGTTTGTAAAACTATCTGTCTGTGCTAAATGTTCATGTGGACATTTCATACACGTCAGAATAGGAGATGTTAATGGATTGTGTTACTGAGCTGTGAGCAGCAAACCTATTGAGTATTTCAGGTTAGATGTAAGGAAGTTCTTCCCCATGAGGGTGGTGAGGCACTGGCACAGGTTGCCCAAAGAAGTGGTGAATGTTCCATCCCTGGCAGTGTTCAAGGCCAGGTTGGACACAGCCTTGGGTGACATGGTCTGGTGTGGGGTGTCCCTGCCCATGGCAGGGGTTGGAACTGGATGATCTTAAGGTCCTTTCCAACCCAAACTGTTCTGATTCTGTGAGTATTTTGGTGTTATTTCACTATAAAGAACATGTGATTATTATTTTTTTTAGCATGATGGGGTTTTTCTTGTGAAAACTATGTGGACAGTATGTTTATCATTACATGCAATGTTTGTATATATACATATTATTTGTAATTGCCTTAATTTCCTTACATGCAATGTTTGTATATATACATATTATATGTAATTGCCTTCATTTCTTCCCTCCTTGCTCCTGCCTTGGCTTCCTGGGACCAAGTTATACTTCAGAAATTCACATATTAAACAACACCTGCCAGATCCACTGTTTCCAGAAGACTTTAACTGTTTGTGAAGCTCTATCAGTCCTTGCTTGGCTTCCTGGGACCAAGTTATACTTCAGAGATTCACATATTAAACAAAACCTGCCAGATCCACTGTTAAGTTTCCAGAAGACTTTAACTGTTTCTGAAGCTCTATCAGTCCTTAAATGAGCTACTTGTATCTTGTGTTGGGACCCTGGTTATTCTTCTCCAAGCGTATATGAGAGAGTCCTTGAATAAACATACCTCCAGTTTGACCTCCCTTTATAACTTTAATTCATCTTTCATTTTCCTTCTCCAACCTCCAGTTCTTGCTGACAACCTGAAGTCTAACCCAGGAATTAAGTGGCAGTATTTCAGCTCAGAAGAAGGCATTTTCACTGTTTTCCCAGCCCACAAGTTCCGGTGCAAAGGCAGCTACGAACATCGCAGCAGGTAGGATTTGTCTCCTTACAATTCTCTGGATTCCTTAAGCACTGATTTAATTTCAGCATTATGCTTTGCCAAGATGACGACATTCATGAGTAACTTCTAGTGGGGTCCCTTGGGTTTTCTCAGGTTTGGTTTTTAAAGCTCTGATATTCACTTCTAAGAAACTTTGAATGAAATAAAATTACATACAGGTTCCTCACTTCTCCCAAATGCAGTAAGTTGTAAACAGCAGCAACTTGTAAATTGTAGGTCAGCCCACAGGCAAAATTTGACTTATATTTGACTCATACTTGACCCCTGTTAATAAAGAAGTGAACATGGTTTCTACTGGTTTGGCAGGTACGTTGCTTTGGTGAGGGGGGGTAGAAGGATGAAAGACTGGAAAGGGCATTGGTAGGAGCATTTTCCCAGTCTCCACCCCAGGTTCAAGGGTCGCATTGTGGGTAGTAGGGATGCAGCAATAGTGGAAACTTTCTACTAAAAAAGAACTTACAGAAAAAAGGATGAAAAGGTGACAGTTTTCCTGCACAAGGGAATGTTTCTATTCTGCAGGCATGCAGCAAAGCAGTTGCAGGGTAGTGCTTTTTTCCCTGCCTTTTAATGTCTGTACTTGTGGGACTGATAAAAGACTCAAGGGTGGAATCTAAGAAAGTGCAGTGGCTTTAGTATCTGTGGTCACACAATAACTAATTGTACCAGTTAATCAATCTGTGTGGAGGAAGTTATCAGCACATCAGGTAGTTTCCTTGTAGCTGAGTACCCAGCGACTAAGCAGTGCTTTGGTTACCCATCAGTGTTGAGCAATTAGGTGTTTACACATGTTATCTTCCCTGTGTCATCAAAGCATGAAGTGTCTGAGCTTGATTAAGTCTTCTGTGGTCTTGGAAAGGTGCGGTCTGAAGACGTGAGAGCTGGGGGCACCCTGGTCTTGATCAGAGTTTTGACTCTAAAACCATGGGTGATTTCATCCAAAGCACTTACTCCGGGTCACAGTTTCTCCATGGCTGCGTAAGGGATGTCTTCTTGCTAATATTTATTTTAGAGGGTAGTTTGGATGGATTAATTAGTTAATACTTAAGTGCTTTGAAGATCTAAGGACCTATATAAGTTCTAGGTATTAATACCAGTATAGAGCTGCAGGCTGTTTTACAATTGAGAACTTATTTGTGCCAGTTGTTTATTGCTGTGCTTTGTCTGAAGTCTTTTGCATTTCCTTTACACTTAATAAGATTTCTGTGGCTGACTTTGATATAATAAAGCTTAGATCGCAAAACTCACACTTGACTCTTAACTAGTTTTTGGTCTGGACTAAAGAGGGAAGAGCCCTCTCTTCTTTTTAATCCTTCCTCCGCACTGAGGCTCTTCCTAATTTGTTCCAGGTTGAAACCTTGGCACAAGAGCTTGTGAAATCTCTCACACATCTCTCACAATATTGAACTGGATCTGAGCACTGCTTCACTGGAAACGTGGGGGTTGATGTTAGCACAGACAGACACATGGCAGCACTGAGAACCTTCACCAGGCTTAACTCAGATGGGCCATGCAGTTTAAAACTGCACAGACCTAAGGGGCAATGGAGAAGGACCCATGTGAAATGCATTCCAGGGCTCCAAGAGAAAACCCTTTCTTGGCCAGAAGCTTTCCCTTCTTGCAACAAACCAAACAGCCTATGCTAATGCAACCCTGCACACACAGGTTTTTACTTGTCATGTAACCAGCACATACCCACTATTGCACTTATTTTGCATGTGAGTAAGGTTCCCGGCACCCAGCATCTACCATGAGGCATTTCTTGCTTGTCAGCTCTTAATCCAAAACTTGGTGTGAGCTTATGCAAACAGTAATCCCAAACACTGCTGCTCTGTCAGCAAAATTGCTTATTCCTGCATTAAAGTGGTTGCTGTAACAGGAGGAAGATTTGACACCTGATTTGGGTTAAAATGGCAGAGCTTGAAAGCAAAGGCCTTTTCTGTATGTTCAGCTTCTCAGCTGGTCTTTCCTAGTGGAAATTTTCCTAAAGGCAAAAATTCCTCCAGTAACTGATTGATTGCCTCTTTGTGGGGTGTTTTTATTCCTTTTCAGTTCTTGACTTCTTTCACTTGTAAACATTTTGGTGGAAATGACAAGATGACTCATGACAGTGGTTTGGGTTTTGTTCCTCTTCAGGCCTGTCTATGTTTCTACTGTTCGACCTCAGTCCAAGCACATTGTTGTCATTGTGGACCATGGGGCTTCGGTCACGGAGACGCAGCTTCAGATTGCCAAAGATGCAGCCCAGGTTATCCTGAGCTCTATAGATGAACACGATAAGGTATGATTTCTCCAAGCATGAGCAGATTTTCGTTGGGCTCAACCATACTCAGTGTTTTCAGGTTCCATCCAAAGCTGTGTTTTTAAGTTGTGGTCCATGGACTCACTGGGATCTGTGGTCTACCTCTAATGGGTGCTGAAGGCTTGAACTCGCTTTTGGAAGTCTGTGTTACAGCAGAGGAAACATGTGGGGATCCACAGGCATTAAAAAAAAGTGAAAACCAGTGGTCTGAGGCAAAATCTTGTTTCTCAGTAGTCTTTAAAGGCTCCTTCATCTTGGCAGAGACTAGGTGATGGTCAGCACTGTGATACAGTGTCCATTTAGGAGAACCATGCTCCAAGCCTCATGACTTCAGATTGCTTTGAGCAACTCATTTTACCTCTTTTTTTGCTTGTGAAAATGGAAATGACTTATTCTGCTGTTACACTGGGGTCAGCTGAAGCATAATCAGTGGTTTGGAAGATTCCCAGACAACTGTTGTGTCCTGGGTTCAGCTGTAACAGTTATTTGTCTCCATTTTAGTAGGTGCAATGAAAGAATAAAGAAAAGGACCAAGAAACCTGGATTTTATTTCTTGCTCTGCCACAGACAATGAGGAAGTCACTTAACCTGTAATTTTAAGTACGGATTACACCCAGGGGCCCATAAGATGCTTCTGTAGAACCACAAACGGTCCCCAGTTTGGTCTTTACTTCTAATAATTCTCTGTTAGTGTGGCCTTGATCATTCTTTCTGCTTGGTTTTCCTTTTTTTGAGTAGGAAAGGAGTTCCAGACGAATCAAATCAAAGAACAACTGCTTGTATTCTTTGCCTTAAGTCTTCTTAATAATCGCACAGGAAAAACCCTTCTAACTTCTGTGCTTTTAGAGAGTTTTGACACTGTAAAATAATACTTCCAGTTTAGCAGAATTAATAGTACTTAAATTGAAGTGTCAGAAGTGTCTGTCTTAATAGAACTCCAATGAAGAAAAGACATTTAAGACATTTATTACTTGGTCAGTAGCTCAGTGGTTATGAAACCTGTTATACAGGTGTATAATTACTGCTTCATTCTGAGGCCATCTTGCATCAGTCATAATTTCTAATAAGGTATGCCACTCATCTAATAAGGCTGGTATGTTATGTGTATATTAATGCAAGTGTTACCACTGCATGCCCTAACTTACAGGCTAAAAAGTGATGGTAGATTTGGCTTGCTTTGTCTGAGATGTTAAAGCAATGTAATGTTTTGCCTGTGAAAAGCTCTCAGAGCTTATTTCCTTATTTGAGTTGGTTTTCTGTAGGCACTTCACTTCTCTACAGGCACTCAAGGCTTTCCTGCAAATGCTCTCTGCTGATTTTGTTCCTAGTTATCTCTCATTCACTCAGGCTTCTGCCCAGAACAGTGTATTAACTATTATGTACAAGCAGAGCGAAGCTGACTTCATCTGAGAAACAAAGCCTGAAGTCTCTTTTCCTTGAATCCACCAGAAGTCTAATCCTTTTCAAATATGATGGATTTATGCCTCGAGCATTTAGTTTTTAACAATTGAATTTTAAACCCACGGATTCTCTTCAGTTGGCTTAGCATTGTGTTTTCTGTATCAGTGCATAAAGAACTCTAAATGGGAAGGTAATCCAATATAGTTTCTTCTCTTTCAAGATCTCTGTGTTAACCGTGGCAGACACAGTAAGAACCTGCTCGCTGGATCAGTGCTATAAGACATTCCTGTCTCCTGCCACTAGTGAGACTAAAAGGAAGATGTCCACCTTCGTTAGCAGTATAAAGTCATCTGACAGCTCCACGCAGCATGCGGTGGGATTTCAAAAGGCTTTCCAGTTGATACGCAACACAAACAATGGCACAAAACTCCAAGGAAGTAAGTCTCTTGTTGGGCAACCCTGAGTATTTCTCACCCTTGCAAATGTATTTTTATTTGGGATTTTCACTTGGGCAGAGGCCAAAGGAATGCAGTGCTTGAAGATTAAAAAGGAGGGGGGGTGGGAAGCACATGCTTTTCTTGAGTAGCATTTACTTGACCTTTCAATGAAAACTATTGTTGCTGCAGGTTCATTTAATTGTTGCTAAAATATATGCATATGGGTAATGTGCCTAACTGGAATCCTGCCTATGGAAGTGGCCCTTGCTTCTCAGGGAAAAGGGTTTTTTAAGAGTACCAATTATGGGTGATATTTTATGGAACATGGGGTTGGCCTGGCTAAATTTTCCTTCGTCTAAGAATATCCTCCTGAATTTTGGTGCATATATTATGGGCTTTCTCCTTTCCCATTGCCAAGACTGGGGTTTTCTGTAATGAGGATGTGGTGAAAGATGTGGAAAAGATGGATGTGAAACTGAGTGGCACGTTGTTTGCCAGGAAGCTGTGGAAGGCGAATTCTTGAACCTGTGCTCTGAGTGTTCATTGAGCAACATTGCCAGTGCTGCAGCAGGGTGGAGAAAGCAGATTGATCTCCAACCGTGTAGTCATTTTATGTAACAGATCCTATAGCTTGGTCCTGTGCCTGCTCCAAGAAATGCAAATCCTTCAGTGAAGGCCACCAGTGCAGATGCTGAACAGAATAAAAGAAAGTGAAAAAGAGAAGTCCAGGAATTAAAGTGCTTTAGAAAGACTGAGGAAATGTGTTCCTACTTCATGTGACTTTCCTTCAGTTTATAAAATGCTGCTTCATAGAACCGTTTGGCTTGGAGGGGACCTTAAAGCCATGGGCATCTCTGTGGCATCTTCTAGACTTGCTTGAGCACATCCATGTCTCTCGAGATATTCCATACTGCAGCCAGGCATGATGCTGCAGTCTGAGAGCTTTGCTAGCAGGTGTAACACAGGACAGTCCTAAATCTGTAGTAGAGACCAGTCTAAACAAGGCATTTAGAATTCAGTAGCAGATCTTTCTATGCTATCTGATATACTACCCTTCTGATAGCTAGAAAAGGCCCTTATATTTAGTTTATACTGCATTTATCTATTTCATATGTGTTTATATCATATATATATGTCTCTACATTGCAATTTGATATGTGTGTGTGTACATATATATATACACACAGACACACACTCCACTACCTATTTACCTACAGCTTTCAGGGAGTGTTGGTGCTCAGTGACAGAGTGTTTTCTTACACGTTGGGATGAGAATCTGCTGAGCAAGACTGCAAAAGGAACCAGCACAAGGCAGGAAACTCAGACGTGTTGAACAGCACAATTCTTTCATCTCATACCAACAGTCCCCTTCTAACTTTTCCACTGTGCATTCAGGAGTGAGGCTGTATCTCAACAGCTTCCCCGACACACCCACACATTGTTCTCTGGGAACAGGATGTTGGAAAATTTACAGTGAAATGAATGATATTTTTTTTTCTAGGTTTATTTTTCTTTATTTTTTTAAAAGATGAAAAGATTATTTACAAGAAAGTGAGACACACTTTATAAACATCCTCTTCTCAAACCTATTGTGTTTCACTCTATGAATTCTGGTATTTGCTGTATACGTATTAGGTCTTCAAAATCTTTCACGCTTAGAGAAAACCTGAATCTAAAGCATTTGTCTTTCCTTTTAGTTTTCTGTACTTGTGCCCCAAAATAGCTGTTTGGTATGAAACCCAATAAAAGTCTGTATTTTCACTTAATGAAGGGTATGCCAAAACCTTCTAATCCTAATATACAAACAGTGCCAAACAAAAAAGCTACGTAGGAGGAGGCTGCAAGACTCTACAGCTGATGTTCTTGAAGTAACTGCTGGTGACTAATACATCTCATCCCAGCCAGTGTCAGCAGCACTGGATTAGTTTTGTTATTATTATTTTACAGAAAGTTGCACCCCTTTCATCTTACTGCACGAGGATGGTAAAAACCTGACCTTAACAACCCTGTGTATCACCTGAGCAGTGTGCAGTCAGATAAACCTTTCACTGTATCTGAAGCCTAAAGTTCAGAACTTGGCTGAACCTTTAATAGTAGAGGCTGTTTGCCCCCAAGACAAGAGGGGTGTGGAGCTGCTGGAGTGAGTCCAGGGGAGACCACAGAGCTGCTGCGAGGGCTGGAGCAGCTCTGCTCTGGAGCCAGGCTGAGAGAGCTGGGCTGGGGCAGCTGGAGAAGAGAAGGCTCCTGAAGGGGACACCTTAGAGCAGCTCCAGGGCCTAAAGGGGCTCCAGGAGACCTGGAGAGGGGCTTTGGACAAGGGATGTAGGGACAGGCCAAGGGGAATGGCTTGAACCTGCCAGAGGGGAGATTGAGGTGAGCTCTTGGGCAGAAGCTCTTCCCTGTGAGGGTGCTGAGGCGCTGGCACAGGGTGCCCAGAGAAGCTGTGGCTGCCCCATCCCTGGCAGTGTTCAAGGCCAGGTTGGACACAGGGGCTTGGAGCAACCTGCTCTAGTGGAAGGTGTCCCTGCTCATGGCAGGGGTTGGGACTGGAGGAGCTTTAAGCGCCCTTCCAACACAAACCATTCCAAGTTTCTATGGCATAGCCTTGGAAACACGTACACAATTTTCCTAAAGCTGCAGCCAAAGCTGTATTAATGCCTGGCTTTGCTTTTTTCCTCATTTTAGCTTCTAAAACAAGGAAAAATAAGGCAGAAATTCCCCCCACATTAACAGCTTTTACTTGTTTGTATCAAAAGCCAATTCAGGCTGAAATTCTTTTCAAGCCATGATGACAAAACGTGTAAGTGAAAGCCTTCATACCTATTAAAAAGAAGCCTCCAAAAAACAGCTCGATGAGACAACAAAGTGGGTATGTAACCAACTAACCTCATGTGCTTCAGAGTATCTGGTGGCGTATGATCCCTACAAGTGCCTTAATTAGATGCATAAATCACTGAGAGACTATGATGAAACAGGTTGGTGTGTAAGGATGTGAATGTATGTGTTCCAAGGCTCTGAGGCAGGCCTGTGGCCAAGAACATACTCAGCTTGAAAAAAGTGTTCATCTTCATGCCCAAGGAGGCCTGTGATGATGGACGGCGGTGTGCCGTGTCATGTTTCTCAAGCCTTACACTCTACAGCATCATTAAGGTTGGAAGGGACCTCTGGAGATCATCCAGTCCAACCCCCTGCCAAGGCAGGGACACCCAGAGCCCGTTACGCTGGAACGTGTCCATAGTGGGTTTGGAATGTCTCCAGAGAGGGAGACTCCACAACCCCCCTGAGCAGCCTGTCCCAGTGCTCTGCCACCCTCAGTGTAAAGAAGTTCTTCCCCATGTTGAGGTGAAACTTCTTGTTTTAGTTTATGGCTGTTTCTCCTTGTCCTGTCACTGGGCACCACTGGAAGGAGTCCGGCACCATCCTTCTGGCACCCACCTTTGAGATATTGATCTGCATTGGTGAGATCCCCTCTCAGTCTGCACTTCTCTAGACTAAACAGGCCCAGCTCCTGCAATCTCTCCTCATAAGAGAGATGCTCCAGACCCCTGATTATCCTTGTGGCCTCCACTGGACTCTCTCCAGCAGCTCCTTGTCTTGCTTGTACTGAGGAGCCCAGAACTGGACGCAGTGCTTCAGATGTGGCCTCACCAGGTTGAGTAGAGGGGCAGCATCACCTCCCTTGACCTGCTGGCCACACTCCTCCCCACGCACCCCAGGTTACTATTGGCCCTCGTGGCTGCAAGGGCACACTGCCAGGTTCCTAGTCAACTTATCATCCAACTTGTCATCAGCTTGTCTACCCTGCACCATGGGAAAGTGCCAGGTGCCTTTCATCCTGTAGTGTCCTCCAGCTATCACGCTGTAAGGCTTGGACTAAGTTGCAGCAGCACTAATGTGGGTGTGAAGGAGGAGTAGTGGGTGAAATGGTCTTTTACAGGGATTTGGGGTTTCTCACATACAACTTGGGTGCCTGGTGTGGCCAAACCTTACTGGAAGGGAGGGTGAGGAGGACCCCACACACAGCTCTTGCAGCAGCAACACTGGGAAAGCACCATGTGCTCTTTATGTGGGAAGTACAGTCGGATGCTCCTCTGGGATGCAGTGCAGCTTGGTTGTATGGAATTGCTGAATGGGAGAAGAACAGTAGGCCAGGAGGTGAAACCTGCAGGGTTTTGGCTTTTGTTAAGCTCTCTCCATGAAGCTAGAGCATCTTCTGCAGCATGCTGTGTGCTGCTCTTGCATGCTCCTGCCTGGTTGCAGCCAAGCCAGTGATGTCTGCTCAGGAGAAACAAGCCACAGTGCTTCTGGGTGGCTGGTAGGCACCGAATCAAACCATGTTTGTTAAATGCTGTTAATGAAAGTTTAATAACAAATCATGTAATTCATAAGCCTGCAGTGTGTTTATCCCCTGTCAATCTCACAAATGAACCTGTTGGCAATACACAGTTGCAAGCAGACGTAAGGGCTCTACCACATGACTTCCCTGAGCTGAAGTTCTAATGCACTTTCTGCACTCTCTATGTAATTCTTTTTAGATACCGATATGGTCATAACTTACCTCTCAGCTGGGATTACATCAAAAGATTCCTCAGAAGATGATAAAAAAGCTACTCTCCGTGTCATCAATGAAGAGAACAGTTTCCTCAACAACTCAGTGATGATTCTTACTTACGCACTTATGAATGGTGAGAAGTGGTTTTGCGTTTCCAGTGGATGAAAATTCCTTTCATTGTACAACTACTTTATTAAGCTCTTTCAAATGTAATTCCATGCCTTACTGGGAGCAGTTTGTTAGTGGATTTTGGCCTTTGTAATACAGAGGCTGCATCCAGATGTTTACTACTTTGTATAAAAAACTCAGTGCTATAATATGCTTACATATCACAGTGCAGCTGCTCAGGATATAAAGTGTTGCTGCCTGAATTGTCTAGTGGCAACCTGACTGAATTAAATGTGATAACTATTGCAACTGTAAACCTTCCTGTCACTGCCCAAGTTCCCTGGTGCAGCAAAATGAGAGTATACCTGACTTCTGTTTCAGACATCAGCCAAGGAGCATGAATGTAACACCAAATGTAATCTGAAATGCTTTAGTAACTTAGGACCCAGCTTAAGAGTGAAGTTAAATATGAAGATCATGGATGTAATAGTTTGGTATCCTGTGTTTTTTCCAACAAAGCATCTTCAGTAAGCAGGCTGTATGATGTATTACTAAGAACTGCACACTGACTCTAGCCAAGGAAGCTAGCGCTTAAGTTAATGTATCATTTGACTGTAAATGTAAATGCTCATTTGAAACCTAATATATACAAAAGCCTTTGATTTGTCTGCAGGAACTGAGCCTGGCGCTTGTGTAAAATGTGAAACTGTGATGTTTAAGCTAAAGAACAAAGCCTGTTATCTCCAAGAAGGAGTAATATGCCCCCGGTCCTTTATGTGGACCAGCCACTGGTGGAGAACAAAGAGCTGTCCTGTGGATTTATGGGTCACATAAGTCTTTGTTAAAAGATCTTTGTTTAAAGTGGTGATGTGAGCAGCATGTTAATTTTTTGTGCTGTGCAACAGTATGTGAGAGGCAATCTTACTGAATTTTGTACTAGCTAGTTACTTCCCAAAAACCATACTAGTTTTTCAGCACTTTACCTTATTGCTTAAATAAGCCTACTGTATATTCAGCCCTATAGTTTAGTATATGTATCATTTTGCTTTTATTTCGTAGAATCCCAGACTAGTTTGGGTTGGAAGGGACCTTAAGCTCATCTAGTTCCACTCCTCTGCCACAGGCAGTGACACCTTCCACTAGAGCAGGTTGCTCCGAGCCCCATCCAACCTGGCCTTGAATTTATAGTACTTTGGAGTAAGATACAGAAGTCTTGATGGAAATTAAGCTGTTTTTATCTCCTTCCTTCTACTTCTTGCATCTCTGTTTCAGAGGGAGTGACAGGTTTGAAGGAACTGGCCTTTCTGCGGGACCTGGCAGAGCAGAACTCGGTGAAGTACGGGGTGCCCGACCGAACGGTCCTGCCCGTGATCAAGGGGAGCATGATGGTCCTCAACCAGCTGAGTAACCTGGAAACAACAGTTGGCCGATTCTATACGAACCTCCCCAACCGAATGATCGACGAGGCAGTCTTCAGTCTGCCTTTCTCAGATGAAATGGGAGATGGTGAGTGCTTACATTGAGTTCAGCTACAAAAGCATAAGAGATTAGGTTCTCTTTGCTTACATGTTCTCAAATATACTCTAGTCTTATGAGATGATGCTTTTTGGTGTGTTTCCAAGACAAATATTAAATTAGCCTTTCATGCCAGTAAGTTGTTTTATCTGCAGGAGGTCTAGTTATGAATAAAGTGGTAGTAAGACATGGAATAGACACATTTAGGTTGGATTCTCAGGAGTGAGATTTGTTCTTGTGTACGTCTACATATACAGAATCTATAATTTGTGGAGAGAAATTCTTTGTACTTGAGGGAAGCAATCTTGTCACGTTGAAATGACAGCCATCATCATGCTGCACGGCTACAGGGTTCATCATTTCAGTACTTCTGTGTGTCTTGAGGTCTTACAGGTGGACTCAGGGGATTGAAAGAGGGGAAAGACAACCAGCTTAGCGAACAGCACAAGAAGAGATTATTAATTACTATCCAAAATTCCCTATCCTTAGCTCTTCCTTTAGCTTCAGCACACTTGGCCTGCCCCAAGCACTGGGCAGAAGAGCTGGTTGGTGGTTGCTTGGCCAGTCTGGAGAGAGTGATGTGCTGAATTTAGTGGAAGGCTGGAGACAGGTTTTCCACAGACTGTGAATGCATCCTGAAGAATATCTTATTGCAGCTGACGTCCGGTTCTCCCATCAGTACCTGAGTATGCTGATGTGGTGGGGAAGTGCATAGGTCTTCCCTTTTCCCTTAAAATTATATGCCATGTTAACAGAATCTGTGTGTTCAACTTGATCTGATCTTACACTACATCCAGTAATGGAGACACTAAAGGTGTAGAGACCAATAGAGACTTCTGGGAGTGTAGCAGCATGTCTGTGAGATGACATGTGTGAGAAGTGCAGAAACTAGATAGTTTCATCTGTGCTCGGGGTAAGCACACGCTGCAGGGTCATCCTTTTTGGGGTTTTGCTGGGGACAGGTTCAGCA